ACTGTTAGCAGACTCCCCTCTGGAGCCCAGTCCCTAGTGTCGACTCCCACGAGGAAGCAAAGCCGGGATAACACGAACCGACAGAAATAGGACAACAGCGTGAAGCCTTGCAGCGGGGGAAAGGGGGGGGGCCAGGCCAGCAGCTCAATTGGCATCATGCGCGCCAGTAAATGGACATAACGCATAGTGTTCAGAATGCATTCAGTACGACTAGGAGAGCTATGCTCATCACCTCCACCTACCACGCGGTTACCACGCATTTACATTCCAACACACGGAGTCACCTGTGGAGGGTGGTTTGGGCATGCGCCTCTACATGCTTGTAGAGGGCGAGCAGAGAGACGCTGCTTCTCGCGCAAATCTCGTCTGCATGGCGACCCTTGGGGAAAACTAGCGGGGTTGCAAAAACCTTGCCATCACAGCAACGTTCACGACGCGCAAATACAGCGCTCCACAACACACATACAAGGAGACGCCTTAACGACTCATACCAGAACGAAAGGCCCCCACGATTCATACCGCAAAGAGCCCCAACAACTCACATACTGGGAGGGGCCCGAACGACTCGCCCCAAGATCACAGCCCGAACGACTCCACCAGGACGAGAGACCCCGAACGACTCACACCTCGAGCAGCCCGGACAACTCACACGCAAGGAGGCGTCAAAGCGACTCACACCAGGGCCAGGAGCCCGAACGACTCACACAGCGAGGAGCTGAACCTATTCGCACACCAGGCGGAGCCTGAACGACTCACACCAGGACAAAGGGCCCAACCACTCACACCACGAGGATCCATCACGACTCCCACACAAACGAAAGACGAGGGGCTCCAACGACGCGCGCCACGAGGAGACGGAACTATGCACACACAAGGAGGAGCCCGAACGACGCACATCAGGACGAAGGGCCCGAACGACTCACATCACGAAGAGCCTCAACGACTCACACACAAGAAGGAGCCCGAAGGACTCTTACCAGGAAGGACGAAGGGCCCCAACGATGCACACCACGCAGTTCGAATGTCCCTGGTTCTTCTCGACAGACCTCCGCACAGCACAGAGCAACGTCAACGTGAAATCGGCCGCGGCAGAGGCACCCAGGGCAGTGCAGGGGGGAGGGCTTGGGGCAGCAGCTCGGTTGGCATCATGCTTACTAGTGCTTGGAGATTACGCATCATGTTTCTGAGGATTGCTGTAACACAAGGACCAGTCTCAACGACTCACTCCACAACGAGAGGCCCCAACGACCAACCCAAGGAAAGCCCGAACCACTCACGCACAAGGAAGGGCCCCAAAGACTCATACCACGAAGGACGAGAGGTCACAACGACTCACAGATGCTGGCGGCGACGTCGACGACGACGACAAGATCCACGCTTACGACGACAACGATGACTTCGGACACGACAATTCCATGGACGACGGCGTCGACGACCCAGCTATCTTTCCCGACGTGTCCTGCAGGGCGCACGCGGCACGAAATACTAAACAGATCAGGCTCGCCCATGAAGTCGGGCGCGGCGGCAGGCGCCAGGTTCGGAGGGAGAGGCAGAAGAGAAACAAAAGGAGAAACTCGCCTCCCAGAACAGTATCCTTCACCAGGTCTGTAGACTCACGGAACTCAGAGAGTGCACGTGCTGGCCCAGACTTCAGGTAGTGTGAGTAATTGGGGCTCCTCGCCCTGGGGCGAGTCGTTCGGGTTCTTCCTTGTATGAGTCGTTCAGGCCCCCCGCCGAGAATGCTGCCTATCTCCCAGTGCGGCAAGGTAACGACATCACCCAGTACTGATGCAGCGGTGAATCATAAGGTAACCCCAGGACTGGACGTGAGAGCATGCACCATGGCAGCCCAGCGCCGCACACCCGAAAAAACCTAGCAATCCCAAAGAGTCAGAAGCCAAAAAGGCGAGTACAATAATCAGCAGCATCACCTCAGCAGACTAAGCAGCACCAGTATAGATTATAGAAACCTGCATCGAAGAACTGGCCAACGGATGTGAAAGTGAAGCAACATCCCATGTCCCAACTCGCTCTACCCAGAATCATAATGGAAAATAATACATTCTGCCGTTGTGCAATACAGTGCGTATACTACCACAGCCCACTGCCGTACGTGTTCCTCCAACAAAGTCATACGAGCGTCCAGAAACGCGTGGCTCGCTTCCCTCGTAGGTGCAGGACCAGATGCGGGAGCCGAGCTGCTATCTCCGCGGACCTGCGCGTCATCCACGTCATCCGCCCGATCGGTGGAAACCTCGGACATTTCGTCAAGAGCCTGTTGCTGGGGGAGTGTCCGAGCTTCTTGCTCACGCCTCGACACGCTCTTGGTGTTCCTGAGGCGCTCATGGGGCTTGTCTGGGTACATCGCATGCGTCCTGCAACGCGGCCGACCCGCCAACGGATATCCACGTGCCCTCGGGATGCTCTTGCTGCGGCTGCGATTGCGCGCCCTGCTCTGGATGCCTCTCCGCGGTATGCTGGCGGATCGGCCCCTCCGCGGAGAAGAGCTCTCTGCGCCAGCACACGCAGAGCTACGGGATGCGCCAGCTGTTTTCGAACGCCCAGTCTTCGAGCGCCACTCCCAGAAACTCCAGGGGTTAGGATCCTCTTTCCGTAAGTGTAGTTCATGAGCCAGCACGTCATCTACGTGGGGTTTCTCGTCCCGGGAGCGCGTGCGATCATCGGAGCGGCTGCGCAGAGGGGAGCCGCGGCGTGCACGACGGAAAGCACGATCCCAATCACTCCGCAGATCCTCGCCACTACGAGTAGCCATCGCGCGCGAGGTCGAGTGAGTACGTCTACGCCGAGCTAAGCTCACTGCAAAAGTAGTAGGCATAGACAACTCACAGAACCAAGGAGATTCCTGGGGAACGGATGCAGAAATGATCTCCTACCGCTGATGAGCCACAACGGTTACGGACAACGGGCAGGGAATCGCAATGCCTTGGACACGGTTATGGCACAGTTCCTCTGGACACAAGCCTCTCTCGCACATCCTTGCGATCTCCGTCTCTGATCACCACTCCCTGGAATCAGCGGACGAGAAATGTCCAGTGCACGCAGCTCAAGGCACCACTCTGCTGAGGTTCGCAGTTTTCGGCTGCATCTCTAAAGCAGGTTCGCTCATTATGTCGGGCGCGAGCGCCAGGCGACAACGTAGACAGGAGAGGTGAAAAATGAGCAGCCAGAGAAACCGCCTCTCAGATCGGTCCCCTCGAACAGATCTCAGGAATCCAGAACTCATAGTGTTCGCGCGTTCGACCTGGCCCCAAGAGACTCCCAGGAAGCTCCCAAGAGGTCTCCGAGAGGCCCCCAAGAGGCCCCCAAGAAACTCAAAGCGGCTCCCCGGAGGCCCCCAAGAGCCCCCAAGATGCGCCAAGAGACCCAAAGAAGCCCCCAACAGGCCCCCAAGAGACCCCCAAGAGACCCCCCAAAGGCCCCAAGAGGCTCCAAAAGGTCTCCAAGAGGCTTCACGAAAAGCCCGAACGATGCACACCAGGACGAGGAGCTCGAACGAGTCACACCACGAAGAGCCCGAACGACTCACACCACAAGGAGGGGCTCGAACGACTCTCACCAGGACGAGGCGCCCGAAGCACTCAGACCACGAGGAGCCCGAACGAGTCACCACACGACGCGGGCCCCCAACTACTCACACCACGGGAAGCCCGAACGAGTTACACGAGGAAGAGGGGGCCGACCGACTCAAACTCAAGGAAGGGACTCATACCACGAAGCCCGACCGACTCACACATACTGAGGCACCCTAAAGAGTCACACAAGGGAACCCCGAACCACCCACGCCCAAGGAGGGACCCGACCTACTCTTACCACGAATGACGAAGGGCCCCAACGACTAACACCACGAGCACCGAAACAACTGACTGAGGCTGGCGGCGACGTCGACGACGACGACAATATCCATGCTCACGATGACAACGAGGACTTCAACGACGACACTTCTATGGACGACGGCGTCGACGACCCAGCGATCTTTCCCCGCTAGTCCTGCAGTGCGCACGCGGCACGAGATACTAAATGGATCAAGCTTGCCGATTGATACGGTCGGACATAGTCCAGCTCTGCCTAATCAAAAGAAGCTGCGGCACCCCGCACATGACTCATGAGACCAGGCAACAATGTAGCATCGAAGCGCGCGTCTCTGGGACACGCGCACAAAAAACTGCACGCGAAGCTACCCATAGCCCTGACTGATATTGAGGTGGAGCGATCAGAGGTGCGAGTCGTCCGCGTCCGCTTGCTCACACATTGGACCCAGAGCCTCTTTCAGCGCAGAGGCGGTTACGTGATCCGTCATAGGGTCCACTGCCATGTCCACCGTGACATCCGATGCAGACTCCAGTCCGTCAGGTGGCTCGATGCCCATGATAGCAACCACCTCCGCCCACCTGCTCCGAGGAACCAAGCAAGCCCCATAATGGTCACGCGCAACATTGCCACGGGAGCGTGCATCGTCGGCTGGATCACGGTACTCATAGCCGTCCGCGGGAACCCAAGAGTTCAGAAGCGGATTCCGGCTAGTCATGTATAGGCTTTCCCACAAAGGGCTGAACCAGCGGAAGATGTAGCCATTCGGGAGAATAGAATGCCCAGCACGTGCTCGACACCGCCTGCACGAAAATACAATCGCACAGCACTTTCCTGATAGGAACGTCATGATCCTCGGATCGAGTGAGGTCGAGTGGAACGTCTGTGCCAAGCAAAGCTCACTGCACAAATGTTTATAGCTCGACATAGCTCGACATATGTTTATGTATCGACACATGTCCACACGTGCAGTATTTACCCATGCCTAGATTTAGACGGCGCTCCCATCCCTCGCGGTCGGAATTTGAAAAACGAGACTCGAAAGGAACTGCCCATATGTCTCAACGCTATCTAGCACAAACATACGTACAGCATGCGCACCATGCACAAAGACCACACGGCGTGATAGCATTCGAGAGGAGCGTGCTTTTTCGTCCTAGGGACCATTCGGCCTCTTGTCCTTGTTGTTAGTCTTCTGGCGCTTCGAGTCTCTCAGCCCCTCCCTCAACAAACGATCGCTCTCCATGATCTGTGCCTGAGTCCTGCGCACCCCAGCCGTCTCCATATCGAGCTGTGCGGCGACCACACCACCATCATTGCCCAGAGCGTGGAGCACACACGAACTGAGGTTTTCAAGACGAGGGTTCCGAGGATCAAGCTGCACCACCCTATGGATCATCAGCACGCGGCGTGCCGCGAACTCCGCCGCCGCCAAGTTACACAACTTCAACTTATCATAACTCACCATCATGTGCAGGAACATCGGCAAGTGACGGTGCATCACAGGAATCGCCTGGGCGCCGTCCTGACGATAAGCGTACCCCCAGAAAGTTGCATGCGTGTCAAACTCCTGGCCAGACGCCGCCACAATCTCGGCGAACTCCAGGAATGACTGGCCTCGCTCGCTCGGGGCGCCCGCGGCCTGCATCGACTGATTCAGCAACGTGACGACCTCACTCAGCGGAGCCGTACTCGTCTGGGCGTTCGGGCCCAGCATACGAGACAGCAATCTCGAATCGAGGCTCTCGCCTCCCAACTTCTCCAGCACCCAGCGTAGCTTGTTGTCCACGGAGACCCGCTCCGCCGTCGTCCACTCCAGACCGCGCCGCACGAGCGCCTTCGAGCCCATGACCATGGCCTCAGCTCGATTGCCCAAGTGGCGGTCGTTAACCTCCTCCGCGAAGAACAAACATGACGGGTCAGAGTACATGTACACTACATCGGCTCCCGCGGCTAACATCGGGGTGGTCGGGTCCCTCGCTGAACTCACCAAGTCCCCCAGCGTTCGGCCCTCTGCTCTGATCCTCGCCAGGTCCCTCGGGGTGATCGGGCTGTCGAATCCGTGCACGTGCAATCCTGGAGGGCACGGGCTTGCCCTCGCCAGCGGGATCATCGAGTTAACCGGCGCTCGATCTGACAACTCGGCCGCGCGCACCGAGATCGGGGGTAGACCAGATCCAGCGAGCTCTTCCGAGACTGACCAACAATACTCTATGATGGTAAGGAATGCCGTCGTCGGGATAATGAACCAGAATCTGTCCCTCAGGAATGTCCAGACTCATGGGCGTTGAGGGGCAGACGGGCCTATTTGGCGACCCACTCAAAGTAGTGATACGACGCTGTGTCGTGGAACACACGGACGCCTCTGCCCGGGAGGCCGCGCGAAACAGGCTCGAGCCAAACACCAAGACTGCGGATCAACATGTATAGTCGATCCCCTCGACTCACAGAAGGAAGAAGGGAAGCAAAGCTACTGGGCATATATATATATGTGTGTGCCTATGCATGCATGCATGCATGCATGTATGTTTGTGTGTATGTATGTATGTATGTATGTATGTACGTATGTATGTATGTATGTGTGTGTATGTATGTATGTATGCATGTATATATGGATGGATGGATGGATGGATGGCGATGTATACAAATATGCACACACGTACATACATACATACATACATACACACATACATGCATACCTACCTACCTACCTAACTACATACATACATATGCATACATACATAACCCTCGAATACTCAAGAACACGCCAGAAAATCTCGAGCACTACGCAGACGGGCGGCAATTTTCCGTAGACCTCGTGCTTCTCTCGTGCGACTTCCTCGTCTGTCCTTGCTCGCTTTGCCAGGGCACTCCCATCCTCCTGCTGTGAGATGTGCTGGCCGCGAGGGGAGTGGAGAAGATGAGGGCTCTTTCCAAAGCATATAGTCGCAATCTCGCACTGCGTCCTCGAGTACGCGTTGCTGCACGAGCGATATTCGGGGGGCGAGGTGGGAAGGGGGTGATCGTGAAGGGTGGTCGTTCCTCGAAGTTGCGCATGCGTTAGCCACTTGCCGGCGCGCGTCCCCGCGCCAATCCCCCCCTGCACGGATCGTCCACGGATCGAACCAGGTCGAGAGGGGAAGGGAGGGGGAAGATGGCAAGCGCAGCGTGTGCGGCCCTTCTGCAGTAATGCAGCGGCCAGCTTCACGCGTTCATTCTACGGGGAGGGAAAGGAGGAGCCATTCTGATAAGAAGCGTGGATGAGGAGGGTGCTGCGGCGAGGGAGTTGCTATCACCAGAAGCGCGGGCAAGGAAGGAGAGACGCGGCCTGGCGGCCTGCAAGCTCGCTCCAAGCAGCGCCGTGCCAGAGCGGCGGCTGCTATTATTCAGCCTGCGATCGCTCAAATTCGTTTGGGTGCTTATGCGTGTTGCGCGTGGGTGCGCATGCGCGTGCGCGCGCGCGCGTTTGCGCGCGCGCCATGAGGGGAAGGCCGAGAGAAAACAGGAGGCGGGCAACTCGTAGGAAAGCGTACCTCCGGCGTCATCCTGCTCGATCCGCTCGCGAAACCACCGCGGGGAGGATCGATAATGGCAGCAATTAGGTGTGTATATGTGCGCGTGTGCGCGCGCGCGTGTGTGCGCGCGTAAGAGAGAGAGAGAGAGAGAGAGAGAGAGAGAGAGAGAGAGAGAGAGAGAGAGAGAGAGAGAGAGAGAGAGAGAGAGAGAGAGAGAGAGGGAGAGAGAGAGAGAGAGAGAGAGAGAGAGAGAGAGGAGTGCGCGGGCGTGCGCAACGTGTGCGCGCGTGTGCGCGCGAGCGTGCGTGGAGGGCGGATGGGAGGAGGGAGCAAGAGGCACGGCGAGTTACAGACCTGCGTGTCTGAAATGTTCGATCCTCTCCAAAATTTGATTGCGTGCGTGTATACCTGCGTGCGTGTGTGTGAGTGCGTGTATATGCGTGTGCGCGCCGAGCTACTCCTGGTGCAAGTTGCGCCGCATCAGCTCAGGAGGACGACGAAAACCATCGCGAGGATGTTAACCTGCACGTGGGACAGGACAAGAACCGCCGTGAGGATGCGAACCTGCACGAGCCTCGCGGACGAACAACACCACGAAGATGTCCACCTGCACCATCGTGAAAAAGTCAGTTAGCTGCACGCGAGTACTGACGACCGCTACGCCGACCTTTCATGGCGAGCATAGCGCCGCGGCGGGGCCACGCGAAAACTGCAGGATTGCTCGAGCCCTGGGCTCGACGGGGCCCTTCTCTTCGCTCTCCAGCGTAGAGGGGGAACCGACAGGAGGGCAAGGGGCGGGCGGGATGAGAGAGCGGGAAAGAAAGGCATCGTTGATGTTACACTCACCCACGCACGGGCACCATTTCCTCTGCATTTACGCCAGGGTATCGAGGGGGAGCGCCCTGGGTCAAACGGAATCGAAAATCTTTCGGGCCCCGAGCCCGGATGATCGAGCTGGCGAGTTGGTTTCTTCCGCGCTCCTGGGAGGAGGGGTGAGGCATGGGCGAAGGGAGCGGAGAGAGGTGGATTGGATGGCGGGAGACAAGGGCGCTTCCCCCGCTGATATTCTTAGACGCACGCTCACACACCAACACACACACACAAGCGCACACACGCAAACATACTCACCACGCCTCTTGAACATTTCCTCCACCCCCAGGCCCGAAAAAGGAGAGCCCCGTGCGGGCGGCGGAAGCAACGCGGACTGGAGGATGGTTCGAGCCTTGAGCTCGTCCGATTGAGTTAGTCAGTTCTTTTCTTCCGCTCTCCACTACGTGGATAAGATGGCGGGGACAGAGGGAGGACGGAAACAGCACAGGTTACATCGGAAGAACCAGCGAAGACGAGATAACAGGAACCGGCTCCAACACCAAGACAACGCCAGGGCAGTGAAGGGAAGAGCCCGAACGACTTTCACCAGAAGGAAAGGCCCGAACGCCCCACATAAAGACAACAGGCACCCACGACTCACACCACGAGAAGCCCGAACGACTCACCCACCAGGACGGGCCCCAACGACTCACACCAGAACGACGGGTCCGAACGATTCACATCTCATGGAGCCCGAACAACCCACACGCAAGGAGGCGCCCGACCGATTCACACCAGGACGAGGAGCCCGAACGACCCACACCACGAGGACCCCGAACGACTCACACACAAGGAGGGACCCGAACGACGCACAGCAGGACGACGAGCCCGAACGATTCACACCACGAAGAGCCCGAACGACTGACACACAAGGAGGTACCTGAAGGACTCACGCCAGGAAGGACGAGAGAAGCAGAGCCCGAGAAAGGAGAAATCTCACAGACTGACTCAAACGATTCTAACGAGGCAGAGGCAAACGGGCAGGACTATGAAGGGAACACGTATGTGTTTGCACGGGCCGAACTGCTCAGGCGCTCAGACAGCGTGTAGATAGATCAGGAGTCCACGAACAGCGATATCACCCGGCACTGATTCAGTGCTGTGCCGCAAACTACACCCACCAATGAATCTTTACTGAGAAGAGTCACCACCACCATCACTTCCGAGGGTAACCAGCACCATCACATAGTATAGTAACCAGAACCCAAAGATCCCAAGTACGGAGTCCAGCCAGATCGCAGTACGAGTCCCGCCAGAGGGATGTTGTGTCCTGTTCTGGAGCTCACTCGAAGCGCCTCCGAATCTGAGTACAGGCATGCCCACCATTGGCCACGTACCGATGCCCACGCCGTGTATACAGCATCCACGGTCCCCTTTGACGCAACATCCAATGTCCAACCTCTCTGTAAAAAAGTAGTAGTCACATATAGACGCGTCAGATCCTCCGTGGTACATATTCACATCACCACTACTGGAAGAAACATCATACACCACCTGAGCCCACTGCAGGATACCCCCATGTCACTGAATAGTAAGCTGCTCGTTTTTCGCGGTGCCCAACATAGCAGGCTGGCCGATAGGGATTATCATCGCATCCTTCAAAAGATAAAGCATGCCCTTGGAATTTCCAATGGCCGCGCGGCCTGCGCCGTAGTAGACCGCGACGCCCTGGAAGTTCCGCAACGCCTGGGACTCCGCATTGTGCTTCACGGCGCAGCAAGTGAAAGCAGACCACTGTTGCCCACTATATCGAATATCCGTTTCGCGATCCCCCCTTGCGACATCTCCAACGATTGCAGATCCATCACTTTACCTTTGACCGACAACCGGAATGGAGGGTTTAATTTGTTGCGGGGCGAACGAAAGACGGAAACGCAACAATCCGAAGGAGGAACCGCATACCTCATCTGGATGAGATTCTCTGACGTCGGAGCAGACAGAACCTGCACTGTCGTGCCCGGCTCCCCGCCAACAGCTTCGATGGACGTCAACATACGAATCCGCGTCAGCAACTCCCCATTCAAATTGTTCTTCCCCGCTCCCTGGATGCGAACCTTGGACAGGTCTACGACGCACGGAGCAGCGTCGCCCCGATGGCGACGCTCCTGTACAGCGCGCCAGATGCTGCAGATATCTTCAGCGGCGTCACCCCATAGGCACGCGCAGATGGGCCCCGTCTTGTCCACCATGACCACGTCGGCCGCCTTCCCTTCCGAAGACGGATCCTTCCGCTTCCGCGGAGAACCCTCCGCGTAATGTACATCACGAGGATTACTGTCGCATGCAATTACAACGCCCTGAAAATGACACCTGCCACCCTCCTCGGAAGACTGGAGAATTGCCAGCGCAGATTTGCGAAATATCTCTTCGGACGCCGACGATGTCGGACCAAACGCCTGCCCTGAGAGGATCAAATCGATGCCAGACAAAGCAGAAGTCGACGTCCCTTCCGAGAGTTGCGTGGACCCATGGGCCGCGGCGCTCTCCTCGGCGCGTCGGGGAACAGAGTCCCCAGGACGAACCTCCGATACGCTTTTCCGCAATAACGTGTAGTACCGAGATGCCGCAAATTTTTCTGGTGGCTCCGATGGTGGCATTTTTCTCTGCTTGGCCGTGCGCGATTGCGCAAATTGGCTGCATTGCTCCGTGACTCCCGTCACGGCGAAACTGTGATCAGCCGCGGATGCCTTC